TTTTGACAATGCACAAGTTCAGACCACCTGCTTTGGTGAGTTCATTGTGGTAGGTCAATTGTCCCAGTCCTCGGCTATCAAATGCATAGCCGTCACATCTGTTGATGAAATTGACACAAAGATGTCCCCGTCCATAACCATTCCAACCGCCTCCTGCGGTGTCAGAGGCTCTGTAGAACTGCACATTGAAGAAGTCGTGGAGTTTTGTAGCATCAAACTTCATATTGAAAGTTCAATCAACAAATGTTAACTTTTTGCGGATGATGGTGTCCAGATTATGACAGTTCCCCACCTCCAATAGTCCTGCGTTTCCCATTTGAACATATTTTCATCAAAACCGGTGACTGTTATCATGCTGGATCGTGCGGGAGCGTTACATTATCGTTTATTGTGTTTGTTGTACAATCTACGCGGAATTCAAAATTTGAAATAACCAGAACATGAAATTCTATTGCACTCACCTTGGGTTTCACCAAAACACGCCATTCAAATTCCAAACCTTCCCGCAGCAACAATAAAACCAGAGCCAGGAAATCAAAGATGTCATCGAAACGGCAGTGCACGGTCACAAAAAAATACATCCACCGTCAGATGGTTTTCAAATCAGGTGTAATCGGTGCCCTTGGAATCGCTTCTCATGTGAAAGTGATTCATCGCGAGGATGGCCATGCTGAGATGTCTCCACCTAGATCTGATTCTAATTGTCAAATCATTCTTGAGGACTTTTCGGGCTTGCTCACAATCAATTTGGTGGTGATCGCGGATACAGATGATGCGGTTGCTACCATGACCACTATTGAGAGACCAACCTTGGATGAAAGCGAAGACAAAGTGTCCATTGTGGGGCGCAATGTTGACAGTGAACCTGCCATGTCAGATAATCAACTCCGTAGCTGTAATGAGAGCCTCAACGCTCTAGCTACCTCTGGAGTATACTGAGCTCGAATCTATGTCGGCTATGGATTGCCTACAATAGGAACAGGTGCCAGTGATGCTGGGCTTCAACCTGCGGATGAACAGTCTCACCACTTCCTATTAGAT